TTATTGGCAATGTGAAAATAATAAATGGCAATTCTGTATTGTACAAAGCAGACACAGCCCTCATTGTGCTATTCAGACTTGTTTATTCGCTCTTTGGTTTGTGGAAGTTCAGAGCTTTGCTTGTATGAATTTATACTGTGGGTTTGTTTGCCTGCTGGCAGCTGCCCCCCCATTGCTCCTCTTGCAGCGGTTCCTGTAAGAGCAGCACATTTCTCTTGAAGATGTGACCATTGCCTGGGCTTTCGGTGACTTGCTGAGGTTGTGGGTGGCAAAGCGCTGCTCCAAGCTGACCAGCCTCAGCTTCAAGTATCTGCACGTCCGCCGAGGTGGGGCAGGTGACCACCGCCTTCCCGCCACGCCGTCCGGCCCGATTTGCACTTCAGAATGTCAGTAACAAATTTGCTTTACTGCAATTAACAAATGCAATAGGGAAGAAAACAACAAAACCCCAAAGCGAAATGAGAATCAGAGCTAAAGTGAGCAATTTTGTGCGTTGCTGAGAAGCTGGAGTTTTTAAGGCATTATATTGAGGTAAGGCCGGGGGCTGATGGGCAGTATCTGCCTGTGCCCATCGGGGTCAACAGGACGCACAGGTGCTCGTGCCCGGCTTCGGAAAAGCCGCTGAGGCTGGACAGGTGGGGTGCGAGCGCCCGGCTCATGCTGGCGATGCACCTGGCTTTCAGCAGCGTGAGACGCCAGGAAAAGCCATCCATACCGCAGCGAAAGGCACAGGCTGCCGTAGCAGGTAGTCTTTGAAGAGGGTGGAGGGATCAGCAGTGGGGCTGAGTGAGGGGAAGTCCCAGAACAGCGCAGACACTTGATGGGACGGAAAGCCAGAGTTCAAATACTTCCCCATGCTCTCCCGGGGTGAGCAGAGTGGTAGCAGGAGAGGCAGCAGTATTTCATGGCCCAGCTATTTGTCGTCACGATTCCCATCTCCTCTGGGGAATCGTCTGGCCAAGTCCTCAGCGCCCAGGCACGAGGATCAACCCTTTTGCTGGCCAGCCGGGCACCCTCCTGCTCTCTCATATGGCTGCACGGGCTGGCCGGGCCCCGTGCTAGCTTTAGCAAAAGGCAGATTTTTTTCTCTTTTTATCATACGTCTGTCTAACAGTTTTTAATATTTCGCTTATACCCTAGGTGACAGTTAAAATACAGTTTCCAGACTTTTTGGGTGAGTGCAGGGATGAGATGCTTGGTGTACTGACTGTGGGCTCGGGTTCCAGCTAAGTGTGGAGTCTTGCCGAGACTTTCAAGAAGCTTGGAGTGGGTTTTTTTACCTTCCTTGGAAAGTGGTGTTTGATCAGCTGAAAACTGCAACTCCCTCTCTTGCTTTCCTTGGTAGATGGAAAAATAAAATTAAAAGTCCTGGGATGCTTTAGTGGCCTGAGGGCCTTTCCTACAAACACGCCACCTCTTGCTTAACCCTCAGGGTGGGTGGGTGCAGTATGGAAATCAGGGGGTGTACAGGCAAGAAACAGGCAGAAGCCGCGGCTTGCACTCTCCCACGGTATGCTCATCCTCTGTGCTGCAGGCAGCTCGCAGGCAGCACCGCTGGCCTGCTCCGGGGCACTGCCTGGGCTGGGGATCCATGGTCAGACGTGGCAGGAGGACAGGGCAGGGTCTGCATCTGGCCAAAACCATGGTCAGTGGGTCGGATGAGGTGCATGGAGGGGCCAGGCAGAGAGCTGTCTGCTTGGCGCGCGAGGGGAAAAGACACCCAAAGACCTGAAAATTTGCCCCTTGGAGCAGAGGCATTTTCAGGCACAAAAGCTGGTGGGGATGCTGATTCGGACGCGCCGCTCTAGGACGCAGTAGCTACAGGCCCAGCCTTAGCCTGAAAGTAATTTCTCTCCCGTTTCCACAGTGCCAGATGAGGGCTGATGGCAGGTAAGTAAGAGGTGGACCCTTTTGGAGGGTTGTGACGCCTTTCCACCCTCTCTGGACAGTGCCGTGTGGTGCTGGCTCACCTCTGGGAGCTGTTTCTAGCAGCGCTGTACGCTGAACTTGAATGCGAATTAAACCACTTTGGTGGAAACTTGCCAGTTGCCACAACATCTGCAGCAGCTGCAGGGCACAGCAGCCAGCTCTGGCTATTGCCGCCGCCTGCACTAATAGCGCGCTACATGAGAATCCAAAGCACAGCCATAAATCAGGGGAAATTGGTGGTTTAAAGGTTCTTTCTGGGGTGATGTTTTGCGGTTCAGCCTGGCAGTAACTCGGGCAGGAGAGCACCCTAGAAAGGGTCCAAGTCGGCCAGGAACAGAGTTAACACACAGAGCTCAGAGGAAGAAGCTTCATCTATTATCATTTATTCCCTTCTTCTAAACTTTTTTTTTTTAAACAAACTAAATGGGGCCTCCAACTGTGGCCACTTCGATTCAGGGTACTTACTGATGGAAGCGCAGCACGACGTGCCCTGTCCCTCCCTACCACAGTGCAGGAGGCATTCGTTCTCGTTCGGAAAAGCTGCGCCCGTTTCCCATTGCCGACACGGGGGATGACGGCAGCTCCCGTCCCCAGCCCAAGTGGCGGTCCTTCCCCGCCACGCTGCCTTCCTGCCTTTCCTCAACGCTCACAAAGCCTGCACGGTCCCAAAACCGCCTGCTGCCCTCAGGTGCGATGCGCAGCCAGGCGCCATCCGTGGAGATGGCAAAAGGAGTGGGCAGCTCGCCGGGGAGGAGCGAGGCGCCTATTGCCACGTCTGCCGAGCATGTCGGAAAAAAACCACTCTTGTTCCTGGCAGCCTGGGCTGGCTGGTACGATCTGAATGCTTCTCAATATTGTGTAACAGCAGGGCCACAGCTCACTGCCAGCAGCCCTGAAGGCACGCTCCAGTCTTTAAGGCAAAGATACCAACACGGAATCGAGCATTTACACAGATGGGGAATCAGAGTGCAAGTGACAAGCGTGGCAATGGGATGTGACCGTGACATATGACCATTTGGTGCCTACTCAGTGACAAGTGACTGAATGTCAGCAAACAGAATCTGATGAAATTCATGCTCCTGACAAAAGATGACTGCACAAACAACATCTGTGTCATTTTTCTGATAGTGACTGCAGGCTAGCTGCACTAAAGGAGAGAGAAAATCGGAAGACGGTTGGAGTAGGAGCCAACTGGGAAAATCTGTTGGGCCAGTCAATGTTTTGGCAGACTCAGCCTGTCAGACGCTGTCAGCATTGATCCACCACGTGAGAGGTAAGGTTATGCCGAGGCCTCCTGAAAAATCAAAGGAGAGGTGCGAGGCATTTTGTGAACGTGGGATGGTGGAGGCTCAGCTGTGGTCAACGACGGCGTGAGAATCGAGTGCGATGCTCAGCCCTGCGTGTCCCCAACGGCTTGTGCTGGAGAAGGCCCTCGCCCCAGCGCAGGGCAGCGGGGCAGGAGGAGAAGCGCTACCTTCCCCCAGCGACACCGCAGCTGTACGGGGAGCAGCCTCCCACGATGGGGACTTCATAACAGAAACGGGGGAAGAAATCCTGCCTGGGATGCATTGGTGATACATATCTTGGATCTCACTGTCCTATCACGGCTCAATTTAGTCTGCTATCAAATCTGTCCCTTCAAAAACTGGTGACGGCTTTTAGAGATAAAATGTTTCACAGTAAGAAAAAAATGTGCCTGTGACGGTAAGTTCAGAGAGACTTTCGGTGTGCGGAGCCTGGCCACCCCGTGCAGCCCGGGCTGTGCGGCGGCTGGTGCCGGGAGATGTCTCATCGTGCTGCATTCACCTCTGCAACGGTCCCTGTGAAACAGGTGTACACACACACGTGTGCACGCACACACACTTGTGTTCTGCAGCCCTTTTTGAGGAAAAGCCCTCACTGACTTCAGTGGGTGTTTTCATCCATCCTGAGCGCCGGTGGGTAGAAGTTTTGGGTTGCGAGACATCTTGCTGGAGGTCTGTGCCCTCCTTCCACCCACGGTGGGGGGACGTTGCGATGGGGAGAGCTGCCTGGCCCGCACTGCCAGCAGGTGAATCTTCCCTTGGGAAAGCCCTGGCAGGAGCAAGGCGAGCCACCCTGCTTGGGGCTGCACCGAGCATCACCAGGCTCCGGCACAGGAACCAGCACGGCCCAATGCCCTGGCCAGCCGGGGGCCAAGGAAAGCGGCAGTGGTCCTGGGGAAACGCCTAAAAGGCCATGGGGGCTCAGGGACACGGCTGGGGCCCTGGGAGGCCCACGGTGGGGACAGCCTGGCTGCCCTGGGATGAGGTGCTCCCCGGCTGGACTCTGGTGCGTGCCGCTGGCAAGAAGCAGGATAAGCCGCCGGTTCACCTCCCTGGTGGCTCCTCTCACCTCCAAGCAAAGCAAGGCACACACATCCTCGCTGTCCACAGCGCGCGGGCAAGGCGTGCTCGTTGCTTCTTCTGCAGCTCCCGGTTTACCTCGTCTGCTGGGTGGCTTATTGACCCACATTTGCCTGCCATTATTAAAAGAAGGCTTTTTCGATAAGCAATCGATTCCTAATGGAACCCTGATACTCATCTGTCAGAGGCAATGGGTCCCACAGGGCAGGATCCTGTGGCCAGACCCAGCACGGGCATGTCGGATGGATTTTTTTAATGCGTTGGTCAATAAACTTCCATTTTCTCAGGCTGTGGAAGAATAAGCAGCCTGAGAATAAGCAGACTACAGAGCCTCAGAAGTATTTCTGTAGCTTATGCTGTTGTCTAAGGGGAACTGATGAAGGTTTGCTTACGGTAGGATGGGGGACTTCAGAAAATATTTCCATTTAATAATACAGAAAATTATTTGAGTTTTTGCCAAAGTCTCCCACAGTGAGGGAAAAACATGCCTATCTGTTTCAGACATCGTTAAACCAGATGTGCTGCTCTTGGTATTCTGATCTCTCAATATGCTGGTTTAAATTACGGATTTCAATTATCATTTGGAAATGAACTTCCAGTTTTGTAATTGCTGCCATAAGTCACACAGATGTCCTTGCTGAATTCACAAGATGAAAACACAGCATTTCTGCATCAACTGTGTTCCCTTCAGTCTGCATAGTAATTGCCAAACTGCCACTTTTGATAAGGATTTGCGGAGTCACAGGCATTTACCCTCAGGGCTTTGTGAGAGGGATCCACTTCCAAGCAAGCCAGCTGCTGGAGGTGCTCTGAGACGATGTGGTCCGTCTGCAGGGGAGAGAGAGAGGGCTTTAGGTAGCGGGACTCAGGCAGCAGCTGCTGTAAGGTGCTCTATTTTTCCACTGAGAAAGTGTGATTCTTTATGGTGTGCCTTTTTTTTTGCATTTCCCTAATACGTGAGATCTCTTTGCTGACTTAGAGGGACTTTTGGGTGGGATCCAAAGCCTGCACATGTTGCTGAGCCAGGATCAGACCATACCTTCTGTGCTTCGTGGCTTTTCGTTCACTGGAAATGGAAAGATTAGTTCTCTTGCTGTCCGAGTGGTAATTACCATGCAAAGGAAATCACTCCAGACGGTATTTGCAAAATAGGGGAACGTACGGCAGGAGACTGATTTTCGTATTTTTGAGCTTCTCGGCTGATGAACTCAAACCACATTTACTGCGCTGAAAAGGGTGTTAGGTAATTCAGCACTGAAGTTCAAATGCTGGGGCAGTAAATTGGATTAGGAAAGAATGAAGAGTCTGATCTCCATCCTTTTGCTTTTCACATCTACTCGGCTTTATCTACTTAACCCATGCAGCCAGCAAGGCGATGCTGCAAGTGCTGCCAAAGGTAAGGGACATTTCCGTGTCACTGCCTAGCGTTGCAGTGTTTCTTATGACCATTTGGTTAATACCTAGGTGAAATACTCCTGAAATGACAGGTAGAGTGCTGTCTGGGCAAAAGTTGGATCTTTGTGCATATAGTAAATGCACTTCACATCATTAATATGACACAATGACTGTGACATCAGAAGAAGGTAAAGGATTGTAATTCCTTCAGTCAGCATTCACCAGCCATTGAGCTGCTCTTCAGACTTCTTATTGCTGGCACCAGTGAAGGCTGATGCAACCATATTGACCGAGGCCGCCTGTCCCCATGGAGCGTGTTGGCGCCCATGCCTTCGGGCGGCCAGACCCCGTCCCCTGCCACGGCCGGGAGCGGCTGACCGTACCCAGCCCCCTGTTCCGGTGGGGACCACCAAATACATCTAACTCACGGCTCGAGGTGAGCTCAGGCTGGAACAAGTAACAAAAATTGCCTGTGTGCTGATAATGCTGTCTGGACTCCTAAGTGGATGACAATTTTCATGTATTTTTCACAAAATACCCTGGCCTTTGTGAGCCTTGGCACTGCAGCATTCTGGCTTTGCAAGTTTTATTTTTTCAGACTAAAGAGGAATGGGAGCTTGTCGATATGATGAGTGTATAACTTAGCTACATTTTTTCTTTCTTAAATTAAGATTATTTCTTTCTTAAATATAAAGTATGCAATTTCATAGCATTTTGGACAACTGCTTACACCAGGCTGACAGAGATACAGTCGGGACTGTCTTGCTTTTTGCAGTGCAGGTAATAAATGTAAGTATCTGTTCTTTTCCTTTTCATAAATGCTTTCTGTTAAAAAACCACTATGGGCTGAATGCCAATCAGTATCAAGTAATCTCCATGTAAGTGCTATTGACGGTTTCTATGTAAAATGGGGACGTTTTGTTACTGCCGTGCAGGCAGCGGCAGAGCGCTGCCAGAGCGAATGCCTCGGCATGACCAGCATCTCACCAGCCCCCCGGCACGTGGCGTTGGGGCGTCGGGCTGCATGTCACTTGGACCGATGCGACCCAACGGCAGGGCGTGCATCGCTACCCCCAGGAGGAAAGGCAGTGGCACTGGGGGACCAACACTTAACTTCAGGTGAAAAGACGGCTTTGGCAAAGCTGAGACCAGAGGGCCAGGGTACACCCCGCGCCTTGCGCCGGGCTGCAGCTGCCCGTCAGTTTGCATGCCGGCACGCTAATCCAAACCAGGGATCACAGGCCACGGCGGGGGCTGCCCTTGCCAGAGCTTCACTTACCAGCTCCGGCTGGAAGGCGACCAGCGACCTGTGCAGCCACGTCAGGCTGCGGCTCTGGCCCTCGCAGTGGCGCAGGCCCAGCGCTCCCGCAGCATCGGCATGGGCGATGCAGAGCTCTCCATGCTGGATCAGCCTCAGCCAGGTGTAGTTGAACTTTTGGTTCTGTGGGGAGAGACCGGGGAGAGCTGTGACCCTGCTCGCCTTCTCCTGGTGGGGCAGGCTGCTCGGGGCTGGCAAGCAGCTGGCAGAGGCTCTCCTCACGTTCCTCCTGCCCTCACCCGGGACCGGGGGATGAGGAAAGATGTGATCCATGGGAACACCTTTCCTATGGATTTGCAGAGCTAAAAAGCTCAGGACAGCCCCGGTGCAGGCTCTGGGAGCGACTCCCACCGCAGCAGCCCAGACTCCAAAGGGGATTGCTGCACGCTCCTCTGCCCTGCCACCTCTCCAGGCTGTACCCTGGTGGTGGGGTGCAAATGGACAAACCCCCATACACAACAGGGCACCGACCTGCACGCTGGCCTGTGCCAGTGGTGAGCAATTAGCGGGGAACTGCCTAAGAAATGCTGCCTGTAAAGGAAGGGAGAGGCTGTCCACAGCAGCTGCTTCCCATCTAGTGACAGAATGTGGCTGGATGTTCTGCAGCAGCACAGCACAAAACACAGGCTTGTATTTAAATGTTTCTCCCCATTTTCACGTGCAGGCTCATGGCTTTATCGAACTTTCCTATTCCAGCTGAATTTGCCGGTTCTGGGGTTGTTGCTTGGCTACAGGCTTTGCAAACCAAGGCAATTCCTGCCCCTTGCTGCTCCCAGGCATTGTTTGGCTGTGTCCCCCAGTGGGAAGGACTGCTTTAGCTCCCAGGGAAAGAGCAGGTCACCATGGGGAGGTACAGGAGCTCTATGCCATGCACCAAAAATAGTATTACATACTCAGTATGCAGGGTATCCTTACCTTGTTGTTAACATCACACGCCTCAAAAGCTAGAGTAGTGTTTTCCACAGTGATGCATCTTGCCATGGCTATGTTAACAAGCTAGAAAATAGCACCAAAATGCAAATTTAGACATAAATTCCCAAGAAAGAGGAGAGGCTGTTACACTGCAGTTAAGCTGCTGGATTCACAGGACACTGATTAATACTGTCCACTTAACTGAGTGAAGCAGAGATGATGTGTCATAGTCCTTGGAGGGGTGTGTAAATGCACATGTGGTCCACTACATATGTTTTTCTACTGAGGGAAGCTTGAAACCAGCCCTTTCCAGAAATGTTCAAGGCTGGATGAGACACATTCTTTTTTGGGTTTTTTTGGGTATAGCTAATGTTCCTGCTCTGCAAATCCCCAAAACAACAGCTCCCAACAATAACAACTGCAGAATCCCTTCCCGTTGCTACACCGTGAAGGAGGCGAGCAGCCTCTGCGCACAGCTGACGCAAGCAGCTGGTGGTCCCATCCCGGCTCCAGCCAGTCCCTTCCCAGCTGGGGCACAGGGCCCTGGGCTCCGGCAGCCCGCCATGGACCCCGCGGCCAGCCCCAGGGAACGACTCCATCACTGTATGTGATGCGCTCGGTGCCTCACCCCGAGGTAACTCTTCGTGTTTTCCATCCAGGTTGGTTGTCTTGTTACCTGTCATCAATGGGGAAACGCAGACGTGGTCCCCCAAAGCGGGGAACCCCGGCAGAAACATCATCATTAAGCTATTTTTAACTGAACTGCCATTACCTCGCACTGGTGGGGAGAAAGAGAGGATGAGTGAGCACCGCACCCTGGGTAGTGCAGACCAGATGTTTCTCTGAGCGTGTGCATTCGGCCCCCAGCTTGCTGCGAGGGAGCATCAGGCTCTGCTCCTTCGCTCGGCTTCTCTTTGCTCTTTCTCCCTGCAGCTGTCCCCCACCGGCCAGCGCCAGCGTCCGCACAGAGCATGCTCCGCAAGAGGCATTTTCTGAATGCTGTTCATATGGCATGTTCAGAGGTCGCTCAGGAGTACGGGAGATTATATGGGAAAGCTGAAAACACTGGACTGAGCTCTGCCAGCCCCCTCCGGTTCCTGGGCTGAAGCCCACCGCGCTGCAGGGACTCACGGCTGCAGAGGGCTTGATCGGCCACAGTCTGCAGGCACCGGCACCGGCTCCTCAGACAACCCCAGCAGTGCTTCAGTCCGGGCTGCTCACATCTCCGATTCCTTGCAAATGCCATTCCTTCTCCTTCTTTCAAAATTTCTGAAGAACTTATGAATTAATCCCAGTGAACAAATAGGCTATTCAGAAAACAGTTTTCAAGTAACTTTGGATAGTGTTCAGCACAGCTGGAATTTGCAGAGCTAGCTGAAAAACAGATTTTCTGCCCTATTAAATTTTGAGAATGAAGATAAAAGAGCGATTCAGGTGGCCTGAATCAGGACAAAGCAAGGCAACATCTTGAAAATTTTCACAAACTGAAAATTTTCACTCTGAAAAGCTGAGGTTCTGGTTCAGTTGAAACAGAGGTCTCTCTATATGGTCTAACTGTTTTGCACTGAATTTGACATTAAGTTTTATTGCTCTGCTTGAAACAAAAGAGCTGAAAAAGTGAATATTTCTCAGGCAAATTCCATTTTTTTATGTTCTCAAGACTATCACTGCTAACTCTTTTTTAAAAAAGTCACTGAAGCTGATGTTTCACTGAAGCCTTCGTTCTAATCCAAATGGTGCTTTCTGGAAGGCAATGCAGGGACACAGGCTTTCAGCTGTACCGCAGTTTCGGAGCGGCTGCCCCAGCAGACAGCCCTCAGTTCCTGTGCTTACAGCTGCTCTGAGCAGCGAACGGCCGCTGCTGCCACGCTGAGACTGACAGACGCATCCAAATGGATGCACAGCTCTTAATCCACTAAAGTGCCCGAACCCAGCAGCTTTCTATAGCTTTTCCACGAGTGCCGAGAGGTCACCCAGAGGAAGCACAGCGTCCCTCCCTCTGCTCTCTGCAAAGCTACCCTCCCACACCTTCATGGCTCGATCATAAAAGTAATGCACCGGCTGCGGCTGGCAAAGAGCCTGACTTGATCCCTAGGGATCCCTGTGACGGGGAACCGTCACGTTACGCCCTTGGCCCACAGACAAGCCTGAAACGCAGCCAAATGGTTGCTGTGCTTTTTCCTGGCTCCCAGAAGGGCCGGTGCAGTAACTGGAGGCCGTGCGCCTTCACAGGGATGGAGGGGACAGGCAGTTCTTGTTCTCGCTCCTCAGGCTGTGCCAGCCCTGCGGTCACCGGCTCCTGGCCACCTCCTCTTGGCAAGTGCTGCTCCTGCCGCGGCACTGGGAGACGGGGATGGGTGGGGAAGGCAGCAAACACTTTAGTTTTCATTCCTGGCATTGCTGTAATTTTTCTGACAAACCAGGTATTTTACTTTTGTTATTGCAGTTATAACTAGATTGCAATTAACGTTGTATCTTTTCTGGGAGGAATATTTGAGGTTTCTGAACGTTCAAAGCAGCAGCCGATATTCTGCTCAGGCTCAGGGCTGGGCCAAATTCAGAACACCCATTTTATTCTTCTTTAATTCGCCTTTTAACGTTGGTGAAGTGACACTGAACACCCGTGGAGTAGCTGCACAAGTAGGACCCTGTGCCAGAGATCACCACAAGTTCCCCGGCGCAGAGATGGAGGGATGGCGGAGGAGAAACGGAGCCTGACCCGGTTACACTCCTCAGCCACCCAGCCAGCAAGGGGCTTGTGGGGAGGCAGGACGGAGGACTTAATCCAAAATGCACTTTAAGGTGTTTTCTGCCCACTGACCACTCCCGAGGTGCAGGCTTCACCTGCGCTGGAGAAACGCCAGGACTCCTCCAGGCTGCTGCCCTGCCCGTCTGCAGGCAGCGCAGAGGAAAAGCAGATTTCTGCTGCGCTCTGCTGGCGACAGAGCACCGGTACAAACCCTGCCTGCGCCTGGGGCCCCGGCCTCCTGCCCTTGCCTGCCTGCGCTGCCCAGGCACCGCTAATCCACACCGAAAAGGAATTTCTCTCTCCTGCCGTGGCCAAAAAGCTGTGCAGGTAGGGAGGACGCTGGACCTCCCGCCCTGGAGGCACATCCCCTGACCATGACTGTTGCATGGGCAGCTCATCTGGTGTTTAAACACTGAACTGGCTCTTCAACGGGAAATAGTCTCTTGGAATTGTGACCTATTTCTTTATAAAAATACTGGGGAATCCAGACCACCGTGACATATTAAATATTCAAAAATGTTACCAAATGCCAGGGAAGCAACTCAGAGACAAGTGTACTGGGGTGCTACCAAGTCCCTAGCCAGCCACTGAAAACACGTTTAAATGAAGGATAGCAAGTCATTTGGGTACGTACCAGCCCGCTGGCTTTAACCAGGGGAGCTTCCAGGTCTGGGTAGACGTTCTCCAGGTACCACCTGAAGCTTTTGCACTGAAGCTTCTTTCGCAGTTGGATTTGTTGAGTCAGGTCGCCGACATCCAGGTTTTTCAAGACTAAGTGGTAAGCGTGGCCATAGAATAACTCCTTGTACTCATCCAGCCAGACCTCTGCAACGCGGGCCAAGTTCCTCTCCACCGTTCTCACCCGATCTTTCGGGAAGGAATAAGGATTGTCGTTCCTGAAAATGTGCCCAACTCTGGAGCACGGAACAATCTCAATCTCTCCCCCGCACATCCAGACCTGAGAAACAGAGGTTCCTTTGATAGAAACACGGGCAAATGTTGGGTGCTGGCTTTGTGCAAGCCAGAAGAGAAGCAGAGAAGTAAGTAAACTGGTGGGAGGGACAGGGACTCCAGCATGGGGCTGCCCTGGGGAGACCCTGGCTGAGCCCCAAGCACCTGAGCCAGGCTGGCGGGGATGCAGGCGTGTGAGAGCAGCATACCTTGAATGAAATCTCCATATTTTCACCTCCCCAAACATCCAGTCCTGGGTCATACATTCCCAGCTCAAAAAAATACTTCTTATCGATGGAAAACAGGCCACCTGCCATGACCGGGCACCTGGGAACAGAGGAACCACACAGTGCGTCAGCTGGTCGGGAAGCGCCCGTCCCTTTCCCCTTGCTTTGACGAGGGAATCATTGACAAGCTGCGGGCTACTAAATGCTCGGGGACAGTGCCTGAGCCTGCACTTACAGAGACAGCAAGGACCACCCTATTTGTCACTTCACTGCAGGCTGACAGATGGAACATTAAAATAGATGATATTTGGGTGGCTTTACCCAGTCTGAAAGCCGTAATGGGGCATGGAAGGGAAAAATGCAATGGTACATTCCCCCGGCCCTGGCAGCACCAGCAATACGCCAGCAGTGCCGCAAGAGGTGAGAAAGGCTTGCTGGGCTTTGCCCATGTCTGACGATGTGATTGCCCACGGTGTACCATTGCCTCTATTGTCCTTACAAGCAAAGGAACATTTGGCCTCGAAGGAGCCTTTGCTGCTAAATTATTAACAAAGGAACAGGTTAGTTCACAAAGCTCTCACATTTGCTTTTTTTTTACCTTATTATATCAGTTTCCTTGATTTTATTTTTCTCGATGACCTCTTGTGGAATCTGCCTCCATCCAAAATTCATTGGCCAAGTAAAAATCCCGCGCTGAAAGTTGTCCACGGTCATGTAACTAAATGGCGAAAAGATTGGGATGACTAATTCTGAGTCACATTCCTGATTGAAATGTCACCCTTAATAAGTGAAGATGAATATCTGTACATAATTAAAACAGGATTTTAACAAATTTCATCAGGAATCTTCTTCATGTACTAAAAGTCATGAAAAAGGGAAAAGGTGTGTGCGATAAACGAAGGGGCCACGTCCACTGCTAATGTTAATTTCTGGTGTACAGCAACGTTACGTATCCCTTGTGAAACGCTGCTGAAGGCCAGTTAGAAGGTCTGGACCTGTGTCTTCCTGTAATTAATGTGTTGGTGGTTCCAGCAGGAGGCTTTGCTCAAGCAGCTGGCGTGGATTCTGGGTTTCCCAGGGGCGTGAGCTGCCTTACCTCATGTCCTTGTCGCTGATGACCTCGATGACGGGGCAGGCAACCTTGGCCCGGCTCAGGCGGACCCTCTCCAGCAGCGGCTCCAGCCACCCCACATTGCACTCCACGTGTGAGTCCAGGAACGTCAGGACACTGCCTGCGGCAGAGGCCAGGGCAGCATCAGGCCTCAGGCACCCCATCCCACGCCGGCCGGCCTCCCTGGGTGCCCTGTGGGCTCAGGGTGCTGCTGACGGTGCCACGACCCTCCATGGCTCCCAAAACCCTCCCAGCCATAGCCCAGAGCATGTTTTCACCGCTCCGCCATCGCGGCCTGCAGAGCGAAGCGGAGCGGCTCACTGGCAGAAACGGCCATTTCGGTGCCGACACAGCCCGGCCCGTGCAGGCCGTGGAGCTGGGGCGGCCTGTCTGGAGATCCTGACTGCCACTTGCTAGGGCCGTGCTGAGGTGCCGGACAAGCAGCAGCTCGTCCCCTCGTCAGACCCTTCTGCTTTGCATATAGAAGATGCCCTTAGTTCATTAGGAGGGGACTAAAACTCAGTGCTGGAGACGGCTTATCGGCACCTCTCGGGGGGTCCAGACAGGGCTATAAAATGGCTTTCGTCCTACCTTTGGCGATCTCCGCTCCCGCCAGTCTGGCCCGTATTAGACCGTGCCTCTCCTTGAGATGGAGGATCTTCACTTTTGGGAACCACGACATGTATTTGTCCAGCTTCTCTTTGAGGTACTCTGCAGAGAAGGAGAGGGTGAGGTTGACTTACCCATTTTGCACCCACCTCCAGGGTGAAAAGCAGCGGGCAGATTTTCCCTGGAAGCATCTCCAAACACACCAGGGTCCTCAGGTCGGGGGCACGAACATCTGGGCACAGATGCAAGGCTTCTGGTGCATGGCATCACAGTCTGAGCCTGCTCTCCGGTGAAACTCCCAGCTGTGTCAGTGCCAGCAGGTTTAGGCTGAAGTTGGTAAGTTTAAAAATCTTTGTTGGAGACGTGTCTCCTGGTACTCTGTGACGGGTGTTGCTGCTTGGTCCTGGGGGCTCGCCACAGGCTGCCCGGCTCTGCATCGGCACAAACCCGGCGGATGCAGCAAAGGTGGACCCGTACCCGGTGCTGGGCGAGCGCAGTGACTCGCTGCACTCAGGAGACATGGGAAGTGGAGAGCAGCAAGTGCAGGGCTTTAGGTGACAGGCCATGAGCAAAATCCCAGTGGCCTCACTTGGGTAGTTCATGATCCAAACCAGGTATCGAACGGTTGTTCAAAGACTCAAAAATGAGGGATTTTTTTCTTCATTGCACTATAATTGCAATTAAAATCTGGTTGTAAATTTTTTTTCCTTTGCCTAAAAAAATATTTTTTTGTGCTGTACAAATTTCTCGATATTAAGCACCACATGTAAAGACTCAGCCCGGGTTTAAAATGCACGAGGGTTTGCTGTGGCACATCTCTACTTTTCAGGTTGCTTTTGTCATGGTTTCCCATGGCTGTGGAGGCAGCTGGTGGTAAACTCTCATGAAAAAGAGGGTGTGAGAAAAGTGGTTTGGGGGACTCGAGCGCCGGGCAGCCCTGTGCACAGGCGGTTTCCCCCCGGCAGAGAAGCCCAGGAGCCTCTGCTGCGGTGCTGCGGCTGCTGCTGGTCCAAGTGCTTCGTTTGGAGCCAGCCACCCACTTACATTGCTCGGTCTGCAGGGAGGACCCCCAACCTCCCTCACCGATGGGCTTCACTGGTGCTCTTTGGTTTTCCTCAGGAGAACATTGGCATTTCAAAAGCCAGTTAAAAGCTTTGAAAGGCTCCAAAGGTGAGACATTTGTGGACATGTTTGCTGTAGGTTATTGCTGCTGTTACTTGGATTACAGCAATGCAGGGCACAGCTCTCCCTAATTCACCCACACTCGCGAGGTTTCAGTTGCAGATGTTCACTGGCTAATGAGCAGATACAAAGGGAAGTCACAGGGAGAAAATGAAGAGGAAACTTGAAAAGATGCTTTTGAGGGGAAATGGTATGAACATGTTTTAATGATTATTTTAAAAATGAGCAAACTGAGTCTTTTTCCTCTTTTTTGCACCTATTGTCTTGTTGCACTGTAGGCTCTTTGTATGCGTGGCATGAGCTCTGAAGTTTGCCTGAGACAGCACTTTCCCTGAAGAACCAGCAGCTGGAAAATTACATCATTCCTAATTTTTTAAGGGCTGAAGTCAGCAGAGAGCCAAAGCATTACAAAGCAGAGGCTCGATATCATCTGGAATGCCTGTGAGCATGCATGCAAAGCCACTGTGCACGTGCAGATGCCCGGCTCACCACTGCTCTTACTACAACTGCCCCATTCTCTGAGAAACCTGGGAAGTGCGTGCTATTCCTCCCCTGCCACCAGCACTGAAAACATGGGGGGCACTCGTCTGGAAACTGCACAGAGAAAGGTGACAGTGTCTATTTTATAAATGCACAAGCCCTCAAGCCAGGGCACCCTGAAGATGCGTGGGTCGGGTGGGACCAAGCTCCCTGGTGCCCCTGGACCACAGTGCCTCCTCCAGCCTCCAGCACATGTGCAAAGCAGCGCACGAGTATAAACTTAGTGATGCACAGCTGTAAATGTAGCAGCTGTTTAAGTGAGTGAACTGGGATGGGAGAGATGTGAATGATAAAGTCTAGCAGGGTGTTGGGCAAGAGCCGCAGCTCGATCCACCACAGCCACCCCCCAGTGCCCATGTGGCCTCTGATCCCCCTCATCTGCAAAGATAGCAGCACAGGCTTGCTGCACTTCAATACATCGAAAGGAGAAAATGCGATTTCTTTCTACTATTCAGAATTGAATTACAGAGAACAAATTGTATTTTCGCCTCAAGTTATATTAGTTTCATAAAGGTAGAAGAAGTTTCACCTACCTTTAGTGCTGAAGTCATCCACTAAAATGACTTCTTCAATCAGGTGCGGAGGAGATCTGCTGAGGACGCTGTGAACGGAGCGGAGGAGGGTGGACCACACTTCATCCACAAAGCACATGATGATGGTGGTGGTCGGGAGGTCATCGTGAACCCGCTGCTCGGAGCACCTGCAACGGCAACACGGGCTCACAGGCGACAGCCGGTCACATTCCTGAAAATCTCCAGGCTTAGGGTTTATTGGGAAAATGCGCAGGGAGGGGGGAATTGCCAAATGTGAAATATGGAGGCAAACCCCTGCAATGGGATTTTGTTGGGAGAGGGAGCAGAGGGGTGAGCGGGGGGAACCCCCCACACAGCCCCAGGGCCCCTCTCGTGGGCAGTCCCGTGGGATAGGATGCACTCACTCCTTTCTAACAGGGACCTCTTTTTCCCTTCCTACCCCCAGGTGATAATATCTCCTTTCTGTGAGCAAACAGTGCAAAGGCCCTGGGGCGTGAGGCCAATCCCAGCTCTACACTACTGGCCTCGGGGAATCCTGTGGGGAAAGGATCCCCGTGCGCTGGGTGCCCTCCCGCAATGCTCCGAGCACCCGCAGGGCTTGGGATCCCAGGCTGCGCGAGATAGCCTCGCTGGAAAAAAAGAATTGGTATTATGTTCAAAATGCAGGGAAATGGCCATTTCCATGAAGGGTTACTAGGCACAGCAACTTGTCAAACATGCAGACAGCGAGGAATAGTCACCTAGTCCAACTTCTGCACCTAACTCAGGGGATCGTGGAGGAGGGGAAAACATTCAAGCATCCAAATTTCATGTACGACAGTACTGGCGGCTCTGCTCCCTGAGCACCCCGTATCTCACACCCTGAGTGCCCACACCTCCGAAGGGATGCCCCGGCACGGCCAGCCGTGCCCCGAGCCCACATGCAGGGGCTCCGAGCGGCGCCTGCTTCCCTCGCAAACAGCCAGCGATATGCATCGGCGGACCCGAGGGAGTGATAAAATTTCTCCCCTGTCTATGAGTTTGTCATTTTATTCTGTGACAGCCAAAAATGCAGTGGCTGGGTCAGGCCTGTGTCTTCAGCGTTTGAACAAAAGGTCGATGAGCAGCTTTTCTCATCTTCCATTTGCAATTCAAGCACTGCTTTGCTGCGTGCCTTGGGGAGCGGGGCTCCCTCAGCTCTCCTATCTCCGAGTGGATCTCCAGGCCTGCATAACGCCTGGCAGAGTGCTCCTCTCCCCCAGACTGGCCGGTTTATCCCAGAATACCCATGGATTGCTGGGACGTGCTTTCTCTCTCTTGTCAATAAGCTGAAGTCTGATAGCAGGTTTTTCTCTCTTGTCCTTCCAGAGCAGACCTCCTGCAGGCAGGACAGGCACCAGCCTATCTGCGGGTGCAGAAAATGAATTTCTCGGTGATGAAAACACTGTTCACTCTGCTGTCAACAACAGACAGAAAACAGGGACAGGTATATGGGAGCGTATGGAAAACTGACTTCTTGTTCTTCTGTGTTAATGAATGGGCCCTCAGGTTCGGCTGGTGCCAGCTCAAATGCTGACGCCAGGGCACTGCGCAGCTCAGAGAAGAAAATTCAGAGGTACTTCACAGCTTCACAGCTAATGAGAAGTGCTCTGAGTAAGTGAAAATAACCCCAGAATTACTCTCTGTCACAGTCCTTGGGACGTGTCTTTCCTTCTCCTTCTGTAGCCTGGTTCACCTCGGGCAGCAGCCAGGGCTGGCTCAGCCAGGAGATGATGTGCTGCTTGATATGGTTTGGTTGGAAACCATAACAGTGTTGGCCCGTGGAGATGGGACCTCTCTGCAGCGCAGGGGGGTGGTTTGGGCACGCCGGCAGGACTCCCAGGGTCGATGGAGAGAAGTCAGGGACTGAACTGCTGGGGGGGTCACTTGCGAGAAGGAGACAGAACAAGGGACAGCAAAACTAGGAGAAAAAAGGTTAATTTGCAGTTGCTCCTACAGCGAACCCAAGGAGGCAGCTCATGGAGGGAGGAGGGACAGAGGCCATGGAAAAAGCAGGAGGCAGCTGCTGAGCACAACAGCTTTCATTGCATGGAGAGAGGGATGTGAGAGCAGCTGAGAAAATGCAGCCGAGACCCAAGCCATGCGTGCAGCCAGGCAGTACCTGCGAAGAGGACTTTTCATTAGCAGCAGACAGGCTCTTGGCCAAAGCCTGCATGTACTCCGGGCAGCTAGAAAGCGTCCGCGCGAGGGCGATGGGAAACCTCAAACTGAGGAACATCTTTTTCTCACTTCTTACCTAAAGAAGTAGGATTTCTAGGCAGAGAGCAATGGGTCTGTTATTGTTGACCCCCAGCTAAAGATATTTCACAATGTCCTGTGTGAGTTTGGGCTCCATTTCTTTGCTAATGTGCTGGTATTGGCTGGGATAGAGTTAACTCTCTTCATAGTAGCTACTATGGGGGCTATGTTTTGGGTTTGTGCTGAAAACAGTGTTGATAATAGAGATGTTTTCATTACTGCTGAGCAGTGCCGACACAGAGTCAAGGCCTTTTCTGCTCCTCACCCCACCCCACCAGCGAGCAGGCTGGGGGGGCACAAGAAGCTGGGAGGGGTCACAGCCAGGACAGCTGTCCCAAACTGACCAAAGGGATATTCCACACCATATGGCATCATGCTCAGCATATAAAGCTGGGGGAAGAAGAAGGAAGGGAGGGACGTTCAGAGTGATGGCGTTTGTCTTCCCAATTAATCATTATGCGTGATGGAGCCCTGCTTTCCTGGAGATGGCTGAACACCTGCCTGCCGGTGGGAAGCAGTGAATGAATTCCTTGTTCTGCTTTGCTTGCGTGTGTGGCTTTTGCTTTACCTGTTAAACTGTCTTTATCTCAACCCACGAGTTTTCTCACTTTTACTCTTCTGATTCTTTCCCCCATCCCACTGGAGGGGAGTGAACGAGTGGCTGTGTGGGGCTTAGTTGCTGGCTGGGGTTAAACCATGACAGCTAACTATATACATATATGTACATACATATATATTTTATACATATATACATATACAATACTTAATATATATAATCAATGTTAAGTAGAAGTCAAATAATTTTGAAATTCCACCCCTAAACAGGATTTTAAACAAAAATAGCCCACAGCCTTTATGTTCTGCTGACATCACCCTGAAAGTCAGCAAAATGTAGGCTCTTAAGTTGCTAAAATTGCTTTGGGAAAACGTCACCTTAGATCTGCTGCCCCCGAGTTTGGAAGCAGCCTGGCACTGAAGACCTGAGCCGCAGGGGTGCCCAGCCCCGTCCTCTCCCAGCTGGCAGGCGCAGCGGTGGTCCCTCCCCACGCCTGCCGGCACGGTTGCTAACTTACCCAGACCCTACCATGCCATGCAGCATGCGACTTTTTTTTTGCCAGACCAGGAAATCTGGATCCCTGTCTAAACCTGGATAGCTTGATTGTCCTAGAGAAGCTACGATGGTAGCCTGGGGAGAGGTCAGAGGCATGCAGGGACCTTCGTTGCCAGTGCTGCAGTGTTGGGCTGAAACGGGGTCCAGGGCTCCTGAACCGGGCTCTGCAGGGAGCACTCCCTGCAAGCCTCCTGGCCACCCCCGGCCTTCAGCTGTGTGGCTTGTGCATCTCGCTCCTCCTTGGTGGAACTCTTCCTGCACGCATTTCTGCAGAGGCGCGGTGCTCGGCAAGCACCAGCATGGTAAGTAAAGCTCAGAAAGCAGGAAGCGTTGCACTCGGACAGACGGACTGAAGGCTGCCACAGGACAAGTTTCCTGTTGGCCCAATTTCAGTGGTCTAGTCCAGCACTCCAGCAAGGATCAAGAGAGGAACTGTGGTCTAAGCTGGGAGAGACCAGAAGGATCCAGGAAAAAAGTAACGTGCCGTTTGATCACCAAGAGCTGCCAACAGCTGTTGCCGTGAGCTGGCCCTTATGACTTGATTTCTGCCGTGCCAGCAGGCTGAGGGCAGAGCCTGTGCAGGCTCCTGCCAGTGCCGGAATGCCCAGGGGAGCTCCCTGTGGCTCTGTGCCCCGGCACAGCAGCACACGTGCCCAGGCAGCACCATCAGGGATGCACCCCTGTTTGGCCAAGGCGTTCCCCATGACGCCCAAACAGCAATGCCGTCTCCTCCCGGGCAGGTGCGTGATTCACCAGAGGCAGGTGGGCTGCACTTATGGGTGCTCCGGGGAGGTGGGTTTCTGTTCCACAGCTCCAGGGCTTTGCTGTCAAAGACCAAAACACAGTGCTGGCTTTGAGCTGCCATGCTGCTTTTTCTGTGCACAGGTGGCTTCTGTAGCTGGCATCTTCTGCCTGCCAGAAAGCAGTCCTAGTCGTCTCCCTCCTTCCCTGCCCCATTCCTTCCCGTGCGGGACCTCACCTCAGCTCACAGGCGAGAACCAACAGTGCCGCGGGAACGTCTGTGTATTGTCCTGTGGGACAGGAGACAACTCACAGCACAACTCCCATTCCACCACACCCATGGTCTGCGAGTGTGGGAAGAGGGACATGGGAGGGTCTCTGCATGAGGCAGGTCTCTCATCTGCCAAGGGGCTGAGAGACATTTGCAGCAGGAAAAGCCAAGTGTAAGACGAACCTGTCATTCACCTGAATTGGCACCTTCCCTCGACCCTCCCCGCAGCTGTCCAGGCACAGCAGCTCAGGAGAGGGAGACCCTCCAGCCCCTTACCCCTTCCGTTCACAAGGCGCTGCCCACACCTTACCCTTTACCTTTCTATGGGTACCCCGGGGGGTGTGTGTGTGTCTTTTTTGAAGTGCAATACTGAGATTTGCAGAATCGGCTGCACATTTCGTGAGGACAGCTGTAACTGAACCACGGTTTTCCAGATCGGAACTCTGCGTCCCTCCCCATGTATGCCCATAGATCCGAGTCCTCCGAGTGGGTACCGACCACAGTGCTCCGCAGCACAAGGGGAGTGGTGCCACTGGTCTGTAGAAAGAAGCGCTCCCAGGGGCATCCCCTGGACCGCCTCGACTGCAGGCTGGCACGTGCTGTTTAATCACGTCAGCGCTCAGGACATGGCTTTGTCTCCTGCGGAGCCTTTCGGAGGTGCTGTTTAATCACGTCAGCGCTCAGGACGTGCCTTTGTCTCCTGCGGAGCCTTTTGGAGCCCCAGCGGGCCCTCCGGGCAGGGGAGGCTGTTGGGGTGCCTCTGCCTCGAGGGAAGGGCAGCGGCAGCTTGCAGGTGTGAGAGCACCTCTGGGGCAGGGAGGGCTTCTGCTGCCAAAACAAATCGACAGGGTGCAGGAGTGGTCCAGGAACCAAATGCATGAATATCAAAACCAAACAGTGCTCGGTGCTACACCTGATAAACCAGGTAAAATGAGCCCCATTGCCTGCCTCGTGTGCCCCAGCCTCTTTGGACAGCAGAGCTTAGCGGGATAAGACAATCTGCAAATTTACTCAGTTTTACGTTTAATAACTCTTACCTGGAAAGGCAAAAGCCATCTCACGGCTAGCATGCACGAAGCAAAGGCCTCGGTGTGCTCAGCAGCTCTCCCCAGGAGCCACCAAGCAGGTTCCGAGGGGCGCGGCGCAGGTATTTGTGCAGGGGAAGCAGATCTTACCCGGCAGGCCTGGTGTCCACTATGGCTCGGTCTACGGGGATCAAATCGCTGAGGTAGACGTTAAAGTTTCCTTCTTTCCATCTACTTTTTGCTTCTTCTTGTTTATCGTCAGGGACTGCAACAGGGTGCCCAAACTGGCCAGGAGCTTGGGGGTCTCTCGGGGCAAGCGTTGCATCCACAGACAAGACCCTGTGCATTCCCAGCCTGCTCCCGCCTGCCTCCTCCTGCCCGTCCTTCCCGGCGACAGGTGCCCTGGGAGCTGCTCCTTGTGTCGTACCCAGCGTCCAGCTCTGGCCATCCGGCGCCGCAGTCCCAGTGATGGCGTTCGCAGTATGGGCACCATTGCCTTTTTCGTTAGCGAGCTGCTGCTCTTTGTGCTTTTCTTGGCTCTTTGTGAAGTTCCCCGCAGAGTCGGATCCAAGATGCGGGACTGCTGGGCTGCCGGGTTTTATCCCCTCTTTGCTAATAAGGATGAAGTGGTTCTCGGAGGAAGTTTCCTTCTTTCCCACTTTTGTTTCCTCCTGCCCGGGCAGGGCTCCCAGCCCCGCTGCCCGGGGAAGCTGGCTGGCTTTCCCCGCCGTGCCGGCAGGTCGCTGCCGACTCCCGTTGGCGGCGTGTCCGGGTCCCTCCACCACCATCACCCCACCCCCGGCTCGCTGTCCGGGGGCTGGGGAAGGGGGCTTGTTGGGAG